TAATAATAAAATAATGATAACAATAATAAATTGAGTAGAGATCAAATCTTGAGGTCAAAAGCATAGATAAGGACAGAGATGGAAAAATGAAAGAGTACAAGATGCGACTAACCAAGATATCTCTTCGGCAGTTTCATCCTCGAAGGCTGTACCATTGCATTTACATACCTAAGTGTTCACATAGTTACAATTGCTATTTAGTCCAACATTGTAAGGAAGGCAGGCGAATAAAGGAGGCAATACTTGTCAACTTGGTATGAAACTAGTCTAACGCCTTCATTTGCTATGGATCTGGTTCTTTTTGGCTCCACTTAGTTATTGATTTCTTTCCATCCCCTTAATTTTGTTCAACTTCAGGTTATATAAAACATCATTTCAATTTGTGTCTACACACATTGCATTTGAGCCTGTCTTTGTTGAAAACCTATCCATATATAATTACGTAATCATTTCTAATCCCAGGCCTCTTTTGATCTCTACTTACACCTTCAAACATTCATTTCAAATTGAAAATTACTATTATTTTTAATCTGCCTTTGTGAAAATCAATGTTGAATTGAATGATGATGATAATAACGATTATGTCAACACATACCTAAGCGACGGTACAACTTTTATGTCTGAAATTGCTGAAAAGAAATCTACTTGTCCTAAGCTACATCTTCTTCTTTTCTATCTAATGACCCTGAATGGGTGTTTCCCTCCCATGATTGACAAATGGGAAGTGAAGTAACTACATTTTCTCAGCATGGTATAGAAAGATAATTGACATCGCTTTTCCTTCTAAATAAAGCAGATAGGGTTTCACTGATTAAAAATGGCTATTAAAATTTATTTTTCAAAAGAATGGTTATTGAACGAAGAGTATTCTTTTCGATAACCTGCTCTTCATCATCGAGTTCTTCAGCTATATATAAGTTCGGGTATGAAAATATGGTAGTGTAAACAGGGATTAAGAAAAACTTAAAATAACCCACGCTTTGTATACAAAAGAAATACGTCCAACCCCTGTCCCTGCCATGGCCATCATAAACAGGTAATTTTTAGTAATGACCATCCCATCTACTTTCTTATCTAAACTTCCTGTTTATTCATGTTATTTCAAGTTTTTCTTAATCCCTGTTTACACTACCATATTTTCATACCCGAACTTAGTGTTTATTTTATCATTTTACTATTTCTACATATTTAATCCCTGATTGCATAAACAATTATTCATCACATTAGTTTTTATCCAAACATCCTGTCTATTTTGTTATTTCTACATTTCTAACCCCTAATTGCACAATGTCAGTCTTCTTAGCTATCATGTTGCTAATTTGTTTGTTGTATCCATCCCCCTGTTTATTATGGCATTCTTATTCCTAATTTTATTATTATTATTATTGCTCCCTTTGGTTCCTAGTGGAACATAGGGCTTCAACTGCACGTCTCCATTTTCTTCTGTATTCTGCTATACTTTTCGCATGCATCCATGTTAATCCATATTCTTTCAACTCCTCTTCACACGATCTCCTCCATGTCACCCTTGCACCGACGTCCCACACGCCGCTTCCCTTTCGGTACACACTCGCGGGCTTGGCGCGCGATGTCACCCAGCGGTCTCCTCACCGAGTGTCCGATCCATCTCCACTCTCTCCCGCATATTTGTTGGGCGATTGGTTCTTGCTTTCTTTGTTCCCATAATTCCTTGTTGGTGATTTTTTCCGGCCATCTGATCTTCAGTATAGAGCGAAGACAGTTGTTGGTTGATGAAGGTCTGCAACAGGCTGTTGGAAATAGTCTTTGTGACCCGCCAAGTTTCTGATCCGTATAGAAGAACTGACTGACTTTACGTTTGTATTGAAAATCCGAATTTTGTTGGTGATGCTGAGTGACGAAGATTTCCAGATTGGTTTCAGGTTGATGAATGTGTTTCTCGCCTTCCCGATTCTTGATTTGACATCCTCGTCCGCTCCTCCTGTAGTTGAGACAATGCTCCCTAGATAAGTGAATGAAGTAGCCTCTTTCAAATCCCTCCCGTTGATGGTGATTGACGTTGGATGTTGTTGCTGTTGTTGGTTGGTTATTTTCATAACCTCGCCAGATACTAGCTTGCTAGGCTACTAGCTTACTAGTTTTCTCGCCGGTCCCAAGCCCGGGTAAAGAGGGAGGGTTGGGGCGTGGTGCTAGCAACTCCACCCCTGTAAAACAACCAAATCGCTACAGAAACTTCAACGAATAAATATATTAAAAATTCTAATTCCTAATTTTGATTTTTATTAATTTGCCCCTTGACCGGATATTATCCTGGAACTTTCCCATCCATTTGATATAAATACACGAATGTACAGCCTAGATGATGACTTCATCGAAAAGAAAATTTTCTTCGCTGTAATTGTCTTCTTATTAGCATTAATTTTGTTTAAATAACATCGAATCAATAATAATATCAATAGATTACAGTTCGGTAGCATCAGCATAACAATAAACTGAATGTCAGAAAAATTATATAAGATAATAAAACAAATTTATGAATCTCTAGTCTATACTGAAGGCTGGCCAGGGCAGTACTAGTGGCTGGCTGCACTTACTTCTTTTGCACACAAACCACTGGTTGTTTCACGTGAATTGCGATAGCCTCTAGTGTTTGGAGTATGCGGTACCTAGATGTTATTGGCAATTTATTTGCCACCCTTGTAGATGATAGACAAGGATTCGGCAATGCTGGCTGACTTTGTGGCCGGCATGTTTGGACAAGGTGGTCTAATATCGAACTGTTGATGGTTTTTACTTCACCTTTATTTAGTCATACTGGGAGATTTTTTCAAGTGAGCATGAAAAATCAAGTTCCTAGAGCAACGGCCGATATAACTCGCTCTACAAGCGCAATTGAATTGGTAGATAGAATTAGAAGGGGCTAGCCTAGTCTAGGGACTTCATCTTTCAGTCGAGGAATCATAGTCGGTCGCTTAGAGAATAATACATGTAGTTCACTAGCATTAGAAGTTCTTTGAATTGATTTTCTTAATTTTTTCGCAACTATTTCGCTTGCTATATCGCCCTTGAATTGCAGTCGCATATATAAAGGCTTCTTGTTTAAGGATAGCGAATAGTCCTTTTCCACTTTTTTTGTCATGTGTTTCTTGATAAATTTGTCGGGATAGCTATTTTCGATCAGAGTGTCATACATAATGCTGAACTCATCTTCAATTACTTCTTCTGGGCATATAGCTCTAACTGTGTGGCTGAAGGTCTTTACCAAATTTCTTTTGTACTGGAGAGGAACGAAGCTGTGAAAATGTGTATATTGTCCATGTACTTTTTCTACGTAAATTTCTTTTTATGCTACAGTCTGGTTTTCTTATAAGGAGGACATTTAGGAGGGCAATTCCGTTTCCGGATTCCTGTGAATTTCTGTGAATTTCATAGCAGAATGTATTTCATTGAATTCAGTTAGTATTGTGTTCCTATCTGAATCGTTTTTACCAAGAATAAAGGTGTCATCCATATACCGGCAATAAAATTAGAATTTTTGACAAGCTTATTCAAAGGTCTATTTTATAGTTTACTTAGAAAGAAATGTGCCAAAATGAGAACCATTAAGGGACCCATCGCCACCACATCCACTTGTCTGTGAAATGTGCCATCAAATTTAAAATTTACATTCCTGGTACACCTTAATAACAATTCTTTTAGGATTTCATTACCGATGCCAATATTTATCAACTGCTTATACACTTGTTCCCATACGTAGTCAACTGTTTCTACTAGAGGTACATTTGCGAATAAAGATGTTATGTCCAAAGATATCATGGCGTTGTCCTTGATATTAATATCTTTGGTTTTGTCTACGAGTTCAAATACATCTTTGTTTAATAGCTACAGCATTAACAAGACAACATACATAGTAGCCTGGAACTATCTTATTTCTTTCTTATTGGCTTTTATTCATGCCGCACTCAAGTGTTTATAATCTCACTGTATAATAAGAAAAATAAAATATTGAAATCAAGGAATATTGAAAGGTGTTTCGTCCCATTCTGAGACTCTTCAACAAACCACACCCACCAGGGATAGAAACCAGGACTTTCAAGTTACAAGACGAGCTCATAGACTATTCAGACTATTCGAAACCGATTCATTGGCGTATAAAATTCCGAATTCTATCAATTCGTGACCTTTGACTGGCCATCAGGTACTGAGTTTGAACTCTAGTAGGTGTATGCAGATGAAAAATCTCAGAATAGGACGAAGCAGCTGTTCAGTATTCCCGGGCTTTTGATAGTTTTCTGCCTGACATCAGTCTGTGATCAAACGTGAAATAAATCAAATCCCTGCACAAACTAACTTTCGAAAAATAATAAACCATTGAAAGAGTGTGAATCTGACGATATTAGATGGTTGGAAGCAATCAATGGGAAGCCTTGGACCTAGGTTTTGTATAAGATGGCACTCGTCAGCAAGGCACATCTGCAACCTTGAAGGAATAACTCATGTCCCTTGTGAAATTCGAACCCGCATCACCCAGTGCTGCAGTCAGAGACGTTACCACTGAGCTGTTCGGGCTCACGATTGACCTCCTGTAAGACTGTAGTGGATGATTTGATTGGACACTAGTAACTAGTGTGATGTGTCTAACCCCTCCTTTGTTTGGTGCAGACTGAATTCTATCAGTCGGCTTGCAATGTGGCCACCATTCTAGGTAGCTCGCCACTACGGTGCACATTAATTTGGTAGTATTAGATGGTTGAAGGCAATCGGCAGGAAACCTTGGAGCTCAAGCTATCTAACATTAACAATTCAAAGTGCACCGTAGTGGTAAGGTACCTAGAATGGTGGCCACATTGCAAACTTGACTGATAGAATTTAGTCTGCACCAAACAAAGGAGGGGCTAGACACATCACACTAGTTACTGTCTAGTGTACAACCAAACTGTAAATCACTTCAATCTCCTATTTCACCATATTCCACTTCCAATTATTTTACTTTTCTTACCTTTTCAATTTTTTTTAATCAGAAATCTATTTCCGGAGAATATTGTCCAAGCAACTTTACAACAACAACAAAGTGTTTATGTCACAGTTGTTAAACGTCCAAAGTATGTACGAGTCAGTAATGTAACCAATGGCACCGGAACTATTCCAAGCACAATTGAACCAATCACTATGAAGCTGTTAAACCGAAATATGTTGACAGTACAAATGTTTTAGGTGAGAAAAAAAGTTTAGCTAGTTTTTTTATTATTTCTAGTTAATGATCTTCTTAAAGGGTTTATGGAAGTTTTCTTGGTTTTATTAAGAATCTTTTGTGAATTTCAGTAACATTACTCGACTACATAAGGCTGAACCATTCAATATCTAATGACAAGTTGGCTCCGTATATTGATGTTTCAAGAATTTCTGTTAGTTAACATGTGTGTTTCTTCCTGCTGACGTCTAACAGTAGACTCGAAAACGTGGATTTCGTCCTACTCGACATTTGAAACGATATGTTTTTGATGTGGTTTTGTTCTCTGGGCTAGATGGTTAATTTGCGCAAATTAACCATCTAGCTCAGAGAACAAAACCACATCAAAATCATCCACCTGAGCTACAAATCTTCTCTATCATTTCTGAAACGATATGTTCTACGTCCAAGTCTCATTGGGAACACTATCGCCCAATGGGGATGGAATTACATCCACAGCTAATGGCTGACGAGTGAAAGGAAAACAAGCTCCTGAATCCCGCAGCCAGTCATGAATAACCAAATAACATGGTGTTTTCATTCTAGACTCACATATTTTTAGTGTTGAGTCAATTCTTTCGCAAGTATTACGTAGGGCAGAATAATAACATTTATGAATACATAGTTTGTTAGTTCCCTTTTAGGTTCCACTCGAGCAATGGCTTGTCTAGTGGTGGCACTTGATGGTTAGTTTTCTCAGAGTATGGCCGATCCATCTCCGTTTCTCCCTGCCCATTTGTTGCACAATTGGTTCCTGCTATGTTGGTTCGCTCATTGCCAGAGATCCCTGTTGCTGATCTTTTATGGCCATCTGATCTTGAGCAGTATTGAGCGAAGACAACTGTTAATGAAAGTCTGAAGTTTGTTTGAGGTGCTCTTTATGACGCGCCAAGTCTCTGATCTGTATAGTGAGTAGCACTGACTGACTTCACATTGGAGTTGAAAATCCGGATGTTATTTTTGATGCTGAGTGCTGTTGACCTCAACACAGACTTGATAGTAGTGAAAGCTTGTCGTGGTTTTCCGATTCTGGCTTTGATATCCGCGTCAGTTCTGTCTGCCTGTAGTTGAAATGATGCTTTCCAGGTATGTAGGTAAAGGAGATTGTTTCTTTCAGGTTCCTCCCACTTATGCTGACTGTTGTCTGTTGTTGTTGTTGTGGCTGTTGGTGTTGGCCAGGAATCTTCACCACCTCCGTTTTCTCTATGTCCACTTATAGTTCTATCTTTGATGCTTCTAACATCATACCTTCACTTCTCTTCAAACGTTTGGGATTCACCCATATATGTAGAGTTTCTGTAGACAGTCTTTCTTCATACGAACCAAAAGCATTCTGAAGAACCTCAATCCTATCAAAGTCGATCTTATGTCCCGTTTCTATCGAGTGCAATGCAGTGCAATCACCGATCTGTTTTCTACCTTCTTCAAATTTGCAGAGATCTTCAAAACCACGTTTAGACATTGTTTATGCTCCTTCACTCTTACATTTACCTGTGTGGAAGTTACTCCTACATATACGGCGTCACAGTAACCTCAGCTGATCTAGTATACACAATTCTGTTAGTTGTCTTCTTCTATTTTATCCTTAACCTTCATCAAGTGATAAGTGCAAGTATGCACAGTCTACTTCTTACTAGGCGCCCAATTATTTTGGGGCTATTCTGTCATATCTTGAACACACCACATACAGAAATATGGTGGTTGAAACTGATTCGGCTTGGAGCTCTGAATAAATCTGATACACCGCTGATGAGCTCAGTCAGAAACCAGAGAGACTGCAGCCCACTGTTAACATCACTTCGATTTAGCTGGTTGACTAGTAAACACTACTGGTTGATATGAATCGTATCCAACTACTCATCTCGGTTAAAAAGTAGTATATGGCCTAGATATTTAACCGGACACTTTCATCACAAGCTGAAAATATAAAAGCCTAAGTGGTCAAGTCAAATTAGGGAGAATGAATTCATACAATAATTAAGGACTACCCCTCCTTTCTACACTTTTACGGCTTACATGTTGGTTAACAAAAGCTTCAAATGTAACGACCAAAGCCGACTAATTGTAATTTAAATGTAGATAACTGACATCTGCATCCTAGTGTTTTGATGATCAGAACTTCCCTGAGAGACACACAGTCACAAAACACTCCATAGACAGCAAAAAAAGACGATTAATCCCTGATAAATCTATGTATAATTCTATTCAACAACAACAGCAATCATAACACCCAAAACTCGAGTTCACCTCATCCATTCCACTAGGCAGATATACAGTCAACAGACAGTTCGAGGTACCAAACAAAACGAAACCAAAATCTGTAGGAAGCATCTTAGAATCACACAGAATATTCCCAACAAGGTGAGATCAAAACCAATGTCCACAAGAATCACACACCAACAGAACTCCCAGACAGTCGAGTGTCAGGATCACCTTCATTCACTCAAACAAAATCACATCATATGACAACACATTATCAAAGTATCGCACAACTAAAATACTCGCTGAAGACATTGGCTAGCGGTCACGCTATGCCGTGAATTGGCAGAAGTTAGAATTCATGGGCCAATGGATCGAGTCCCAGTGGTCTAATGGTCTACGAGCTCACCTGGTAACCAGAAGGTCCTGGGTTCGAACCTGGCAGTGGGGTGGTTGCGTACTGTGAAGAGTCCCAAACTAGGACGAAACAGCTATCCAGTACTCCCAGGTTTTCCAGTGGTTTTCTAACTAACATCAGCTCATGATGAAATCCACCATGGAATCAAACGAAATCCCTACAAAACCGATACTTGAAAATTAAATCTGATGCTCACTAGCGACTGGCCCTATTCAGGCAGTTAACCTGGGGTTCTAGTGGAAAGCCGTGGCCAGTAGGGTACAGCAGGTCAAAGGTCAGGCAGTAACTCATCGAAGAAGACATTGCGAAATAGTTGGGCTATATCGTGAATTGGTAGAAGTTAGAATTCAATGACCACTGGATAAGGTCCCAGTGGCTTAGTAGTCTACGAGCTCTCCGTGTTACCAGAAGGTCCCGGGTTCGAACCCTGGTGGTGGGTGCGTACTGATGAAGAGTCTTAAACTAGGCGGGTGTCAGCTCATGACGAAATCCTGTAAACAATGAAAAGTATCAAAGTTATAGACTAAACAAGAACGATTACAAATAATATGGATGAAGTCAACATAGGATATTCAAATGTACGACCGGTGATATACATTCTAGAAGAATATTGGGAAATAATTAGAGGGTTTTGATTAGATGCTTTAGGAGGGATTTTCCCCAGACAACTGTTCTGTTACATCGTAGCATCTTCCCCATGTGAAAGTAATACGTGCTTAGATATACTTGAAGTAAATCGATCTGTTCTGTTTGTAAAAGTTGACTGTTTTCTATACTACTGAATTATTTTATTAACTAATCAAGTAACTAACTAACCAATTACATTACCTCGAGTAAATTCTTCCCCCCTCTCCCTACTACTCTTTCTCTCTCTTTCACTCTCTTATGTTACCTGTCCTTCGTGGATTGTCCATTGTCCTCTTGTATTATTTCCAACAACGTCAACAGCAACAACAACAACAACACCATCACCAAAAATAATAATAACAAAAACGGGAAGGTCTAACAATTAGGTATTAGAAATAATGTCTTCTGTATTCTATCTCTACTGAATATTCCATAGGGATATAAACAAAACTTTTCGGAGATGATTCCATGAGAGAAGACAGAATAAAAAAATAGAACGAAATAGAAAGACAATTGACAAAATTTATCAATGCATGGCTGATTGAATGGCAGAATGAATGAATGAATGAATGGACAGATGGGTAGGTAGATGGATGGATGGATAGGTGTGTGAATGGGATGAATAAGGGAGTGAATGAGTGATTGATTAATGAAGATCCCTGCTTACTTGCTTGCTTGACTGCTTGCCTGACTGAGGGACTGTTTACTTGTGTTCAAAGACAAGAGGCTTTTTGGGGATGGAAATGTGATGAATAGAATGGGGAATGTGTGAAATAAAAATAACAATAGAGAGAAACCAATTAACCACTTAATTCAAGGAATTATTACCCCCTTCTTTTTCTCAACGTGAATAAACACAATAAAGGGAAATAGAAGTCTGTTGTGTCCTATTATTATTATTATTCTAGTTTATTCTTTATTATCATCTCTTTATTGGTTAATTGAACATTGAACACTGTTCATTTTAACTACAAATCAAGCAAACAATGAACTGTTTTATGGACAAGATAAATATTATGATTATTAATCTTTCTTTTTTTACAACAATAATATTATTATTGTTAATATAGGGGATTAGAAGAAAAAACGATTATTGTGGTATTTGATACACATTGTTATAATTCATGGCTACATCCTATAATTATTATCATCATTGTTCCTTTAGATTTCGTGTGACACATAGGACTTCAACAATACATCTTCTCGACGTCCTACTAATGAGAAGAGAGGATGGCTCCGTCAAAAGAACCCTATTTAAGAAAGTTAGACACCAAAGCTCAGTATACACACTACCTTACCCCCAATGCAAACGTAATCTGATCAGGTGCTTAGCATTTAGAGCGAGATCCAATTGTTCCGAAGACTGTGTAGAGAAAAAACTCTAGGTCATCCAAGAAATTCTAAGCGAGAACGGATATACAGAGAGGTTCATTAAAGTCAACATAAGTTACAATATTCGTAAACATGAACTGGCAACGGTGGACAAAAAGCCTCTGCTTTTACGTCTCTAATTTAAGGTAGATACTCCTGCGGAGATTCTATCCCAACGTTTAACCAGGACGATAAAGAAAACTCTTTACTCTGCACGTCTGTCCCTATCCTTGAGTAGCCGTCAAATGTTCACCCAGAAACTCAAAGATGTCTTACCTAACCTTAGCTCTTCTTCATGCACATACCATTTCAACTGTTCCTGTGGTTCAAGATATATAGGACGCACGATTAGGCAGGTTCGTTTACGGG